CTATGGGCCGCGGCCCCATCAGGAAAAAATTCAATTATCTTACCGAAATTTTCAATTTTTACAAAATTGTCAATATTCGAACCAAAAAATGAACTCCTGTAGTATGTGTACCAGGTTAGGGTTAGGGCAAAATTTTGTTCAGATTTTTTACATTATAGTTCTATTATGAGTTTGGGGACTGTTTGTCTTAGCCAAGTGAATAGTTTCTTTACACAACTTGATGGGCCGCGGCCCATAGCCTGATGGGCCGAGGCCCAATTTGATGGGCCGTGGCCCCGGCCCATGGGCCGAAGAGGAGTCACCACTTCCACTCCAAACTGTTGTCCCTATTTTCAACCAGTTACTTAGGCTTTACGCGAAAAGAAAACATTTTCATCACTAGCTTGAATTAAAACGAAGCAAGGAAGTCGACTGCACGCCGCTGCAGAGCTACGTATTGCAGAAATTTCTTTGCGGCCTCGTTTGCAATCCTATATTGGAAACGAAACAGCAGCAAAATTCTGACTAGAGTTAATTGTGTTTGTGCATGTTTTTAAATGAGTGTGTTATGTGTGCCTTTCTTAGGCATAATGGTTGCATAGCACCTCATTTCATTACGCAAATATATGGTATTATTTTATGTTTCACCCATTTCAATTGTTGGCCGACACATTTTTTGATACTTTTTCTTTGTGTGAAATGTTTTTAGGTGTGCCTTTTGTCTAGAAGCATATTGAGTGCCCGATATTACATTACTCGAATATATGATATTCTTTTCTGTTCCGATCATTTCAATTTTTTGCCCGTACGCGAGTACATTTATTCTTACCGGTCCGCCAGGGTAGAAAGGTTGGGAACCACTGGTCTATGGGAGATACGCTTTTTAATACTTGTTCGAAGCTGATCTGCGATTTCCGAGACGCAGAATTCAACGAGTAGCAAAGATCTTTATGTGTGACATATCGCGAATAACTTACCTCATAATCATAACATTTCGGCGAAACTGAGATTCATAACATCGTAGGATTTTGTGTTTAAATGAAGCAATCAGTAATCAGTAGTTTATTTTTCACTATACCATCAAATAGGCACAAGCATACAAATTGCAATGAATTATAAATAGTTCACATTTCAGGTTGAAGGCGGAAACCCAGTACTGGTTATCGAGCAGCGGCTGTATCAAAACATGGTCAAAATTGAGCCGTGATTAAGGAGACAAGGGCAGAATAGAACACGAGAAACGTATACAGCAGGTGCGTGCAACTGTTTTGCGCAATGGGCCACAAACTACAAGTATAGTGATACCGGGGGCCAGACCATCGAACAACTCATTAAACAATCCAAAACGATACTAAAAGCTGAGCATTTGCTTATCCTGTATTTTAGAGAAACTTCGATGTTTTCCGATAGATCGTCTATTCGTCGAGCCACTGTAAAACGAGGCAGACTTATTTGCTCCACTAAATTTTTCTTCTCCGTGGATACATTTTTGATGAATATCTCCAACCAATTCTTAATGAATTCACCATCGCTGTACGGCTTTCCTTTTTCCGCAATTGCTTCAGCTATCTTGAAGCTCAGTTTTATAGCTATCTCAGTGTCCTTGTAATCATGGAATACCTCTTGCTGTTTGCTCAAAGACTGTTTCAATTGCTGCATTTTGTCAACCCGTGATTGCCAACCTACAATGCTATCGTAGCTAGCAGAGTTCGCTTTGCCAAATCAGGCAAACTAGATCTTGATTGTGTTGCACAATGAGGTATTTTACACAACACTCATTGTTGAATGTGCGCCTTTCATAACTTTCCTTTTCTTACTGGTGGACACTTGAACTTTGTTAGGCTTTTTCGTATAATAACCTGCAATCATGAATTAAGATGCACATAAGCACATTATGCTGCAACAATGGGGGGTCGTCACAGTACTGTATAGTCTGAGTGTAGTGTAGACGGAATAAAACTGCAGTGTGTTGTAGTCTTATACTGTAGTCAAAAATGCCAATAATGCCGTTGCAATTCAGAAAAAGTTTTTAAATTAATAGTCTACGAAATATGAAGTCGGTAGCGGTTATCTTGATTTTCCACCATTCATCCTGGTCCAGGATGCATTTTCTAAATGGGTAAACAAATACTCAGAATAAATAGCGAAGTTGAAAACAAATAACTTATCTAAATACGAATATTCGGCGGTGTGATGCATATAAGCATTGAGAATGCGCTTGCCACAGCACCTCTGATTGCCCTGATAGGGTTCTCAGGTTCAAATCGCGCCTTATTGCCTTCCCTTCCCCTGGATGAATAGAATCCTATCCTATTTTATCAAACCCTGGGGCGTCGCTAAATTCACACTGAGTAGTGTGCCAATAATATATGAACAAAATGCTTGATATAAATATTAAGACCATTTCACAGAATGTGAATGTGCGATTGCGGTTAATTTAAAGTTAAAAGAAAGCATAAACCTCGCATGGCTGCTTTGCGTACTCGAGCGTTTCAAACGAAACTTTTGATTTGACTTAAACAAGACGTCACTGGCTTGAGGCGTCCTGATTGGACGGAAGTCTCGGTGCGCTATTTACGAATGTGCTGTACTAACTGCGGGTCTTAGGACTTTAAATTCAGAAATTGTTCTATTTTGCCTGTACTCCCGAGATTTATTCGTGTTCGAAGTTAGTCTTGTATTAAGTTTAAATGTGATGACCTTGTGGATCTGGAATCATGAACATATTTTATTAAACCTAGTAGAATACTTGGTTAATAGAAATGGTTATGTGCGAGAGGATTGCTGGACTCCTCGTCGTCGTTGGGTGGTCACGTACGGTAACCGCTGGTCGGTTACGGCTTCCTCCACCACCAAGTCTATGCTTCCGAAAACAAACAATATAACTAATCCCATACCCGACTTGGAATGGTAACCAGACGAGAGGCTATGGTTCGCCACCGGCGCGGCGGTGTGGCTCAACGGGCTAAGCGTTAGGAATATGCTCGCCACCGCACCTCTAATTACTCTGCGTGGGTTCGCAGGTTCGAATCCCATGCAGGGATGGTTATGTGCGAGAGGATTGCTGGACTCCTCGCCGTCGTTGGGTGGTTCACGTAACCGCTGGTCGGTTACGGCTTCCTCCACCACCAAGTCCATGCTTCCGAAAACAAACAATACAGTAAAAACTAATCCCATACCCGACTTGGAATGGTAACCGGACGAGAGGCCGTGGTTCGCCATATGGATAAGCCGTCTTATCGGCTTTCCTCTCCCCCGGGATAAATATGTAAATCCTATCCTATCCATATGGATAAGCCGTCTTATCACTTTCCTTTCCCCGGGATAAATATGTAAATCCTATGTCTGTATGTGGTCTAGTATTAGTTATCAAGCAGTCAGGTGACGTCTAATTTCTGAATTTAAATGAAATATTGACTGGATTTCGGTGTTCAACTTTATTAGTGATTTTATAAAGGTATAGTGGCATAATATATATAGGCTACTGGTACTACTAGTATTTAAAGAAATATGTTAAGAGCAAAGACAAAAATATTTCTCTTGTGTATCATGTCCGCATGTCAAAGGAAAGTATTGATGTGTTTTTCTTCCTGAAAATATGGTGATTACTCTTCTATGAACTGTATATGTGGCAATCAAAAGGCCACCAAAGCAGATAACTCTTGTTATCTCTCGCAAGGTATCTGCCTTCCATTCAGATTCAGGCATTACTGCATTATATCATCCGTTTATTTTCAGTGTTTGTGGCACCACGTCTCCCGGTCTCTGTTATATTATTTAAACTACATATCATATCAATATTTGCTATTAACAATAACAGTCGAAAGAAAATTCTAATTTGATTTTGCCAAGCGGTTAATATTTACAGTATTCATAACACAAAAAAACAAAAAGCAACAATTGAATGGTGCTTATTCAAAATACTGCACAGTCCTCCAATTCCAAGACTAACCGCTATATTTAAAGACATCAATTATAACGTTGAATACAAACCCCTCCTTTACGAGACATCCTGACAGCATTGGCACTCCATACTGCCATACCGGTATCACCTCAAGATTAGCAAATTGATACTCTGTAATAAACTGAAAAAAAAAAAATCTAAAAATGTCTGCTATCAGAGTCCTTTTTAAAAAATATTGGCTGAAAAAATTTTTATCATAGCAATGGCATCGCCCGAAATGACATCTGCGCCGTTCATAACGAACTTGCTACAGCCGGCGATCTCCAATCGTGATCGTTGCGACGAGAAAGCTAGAGAAATACCTTGCTCGATTCAGGTGATTGTTTGCGCGTTTTGGACGACCATTCGCATACTTCGGTGGGCCTTATTACGTCACTGTGACGTCGGAATGACTGAATTTTTGGTGATGTAGTCGGGGTTAGGATTGACATATGCAAAAATTATTGACCTAGGACAACTAGAAGTGCATGTGGTACTAAACTATATCAGACCCCTCGTTTCTGCGGCAAATAAGTGTTTATCTAGCTATTGGGACATTCTTGGAATCTGATAACTGTGCCCTGATACCAAATCAGTAATTTTCTATTGAAGAGTTTTATAATCTTATATTTTACAACACAAATTATATACTTCCATAATCGCTCAAAATCATATTCTTCAATATCGTTTGTCATTGTATTCATAGATACCATAAACAGCATTGAAAAAAGTTAAATATATCTAAATAAATCCATACAAATACTCCTCAAAAACTGTCATATATTTGTGACCTTTGGTTAAGTTTGTATGGTTGTCAATATGAAGTAGTTGAACATCGCATAAAGCAAAGGCAATAAAATGACAAACGCCAAAATTAGTTTATGCTGGGATACTAATACAATTCTATTGCTATTTATGTAATTGTCCTTATATTAATATAGCAATTAAAGTGGCTAACCAGTCTTTGAATGCAAATACTCTCTTTGTTTTAATTTCTGTATTTGTTACAAAATGTTTATGTAAAAATTACATTTTCCTAACTAAGTAGCTAATGGAAAATCTTTTGATAAATTCTTGTTTAATTTTATATTTTCAAGTGCTAATTTTGTTGCTGTGTGGATTAGCTTGGGGAAGCCTAGGCAGACACTGGGTGCGTACGGCAGTTCTTAATAATAATATATCTGCTAAATAAGCGAGTTACCATCAGATTCGTAACTAGTACTCTCAGAACTGCTTGCCGGATCCAACAAGATGGAAGATTATATCAAAATTGAGAAGATTGGTGAAGGTGGGACATATTTGTTTTCATTTAGGCTTCCAACATCTTCATAAACAAGCGCTTTACGAGCAATCACTAACACACTATGTTTCTAGACAGAATTTCAATATATTAATTTTATTACAGGTTACTCAGTCTTGTGCATAGAGTTTGAACCTGAGATCATATATACCGGTACTTAACTTCAATTTAATATATCTATATTATTTATATTATCAGTGTATTAAGATTTGTTCATTTTGTTGTTTCTAGTTAAACAAATATACACTTTATTGCAGGCACCTATGGAGTGGTCTACAAAGGACGTAATAAGAAAACAAACCAGCATGTTGCACTGAAAAAGATTCGTCTTGAGAGTGAAGATGAGGGAGTGCCAAGTACCGCAATTCGAGAAATTTCCATTTTGAAAGAACTGACTCATCCCAATATTGTTAGGTTTGTCTAACTTTTATTAAAACTTTATTTAAGTGTGCTGTTGAATTCTATCCTGTCATAATTGTATCTTTTCTTTCCATTAGATAATTTAATTTTAGTTTTCTAATATTAATCTGAATTTCGAGTTATTGGAGTTGGATTGAAATTTCACTCCTTCGTCATTTCATGGTGATATTCAAAGTTCAAATTTTCTACAGTCCAATCAAGTTGATAAATCATTGTTCTTATTAACAGTAAATTAGTAAAGAACGCTTGTATCCGCCAAAGTAGTTCGCATCTTGAATCAAAATTGACATTACCATTAACTTGTAATCAGAAATGTTTTCGGATATTGCTATTTTTCATTTAATGCGTAATCTATCATTTTTAGTCTGCTTGATGTCCTCTTGCAAGAGTCCAAACTGTACTTGGTGTTCGAGTTTTTACAGATGGATTTGAAAAAGTACATGGATTCAATTCCATCTGGAAAATTTATGGACAAAGAGTTGGTAAAGGTAATCATCTATATTGCAGTACATCATAAAAAAAGAGGAGGGATATTTTAATTTTATAATGTGGGAAATGGAAGCTGACAAAAGCTGGCTATATAAATATTCAACTAGTTAATAGTTCCACTTGATTGTGTATCCATGTATGCTTTTAGGAGAAAATTCTTATATAAAGTATGATATTTTAGTATACCTGGTTTATTATAACACTATATTAATCCGCCGTGGGTTGCTTTGCTTTCATTGAATTTTATTGTTACATTTCTCGCCAACAGAGTTACACATACCAGATATTGCAAGGCATCACATTTTGTCACTCGCGTCGAGTGTTGCACAGAGATTTGAAGCCACAGAATTTGTTGATTGACAAAAATGGCATCATCAAACTTGCAGATTTTGGTCTTGCTCGTGCCTTTGGGATCCCCGTCCGAATCTACACGCATGAGGTGTTCAATTTTGCTCTTATCATATCCCCCTTTATACTTGTTCTTATTCCGAACAGTGTTTATTGATCCATGTTAAGTATATGACATATTTAATTTAGGTTGGTATTTATGGTATAGGCTTTCCATAGATCAGTGTGGTCTAAGGTTGTCGGCTCCGCGGGCCACAAAATTATTTTTGCATTGTTCGCGGGCCACAATAGTGCCAAGAATAAGTAAACAGTGCAATACAAAACAAATTCCTTCGTTGTGCAAACACATAGTTATCAGGCATAGCCATTCTAGGCTAATAGAATTCGCATTCGATTTTTAGTTTTCTATGATGCCTATATTGTTCGCATATATTCCCGACCAAAAAGTTAAAAAGCCAGATAACAATTTAGACCGCCAAGCACATCATTCAACTTCGCTAGTTTCCCCAGCTATCTATAACACTATTTAATTCAGTGACAATAGTGATGAAAATATGTCAAAAGATTTCTCTGATTAATTTTACACGAAACAACACGAAATGCGATTTTTTGATTACTCTCCGAATGTGACGCAGGCCACAGATAATGAAGCGGCGGGCCACATGTAAATTAACATTAAGAATTAATCATTATCTTACATATGCGCGGATATTGCAATACTATCATATCATAGGAAAGAAAGTATCATCTCTAATGGTATCTTATTGTTATTAATATAACCAAATACTTCATGTTGATAACAGTCAAAGTATTTCATATCCAGTTCATAAAATTATTGCAAATAACAGACTGTTCTAAGAATGGGATGCCAAGTTTCACATTCGAATTATTATTTTTAGGTGATCACTCTTTGGTATCGAGCGCCAGAAATTTTGTTGGGATCCTCAAGATATTCTACTCCTGTTGATATTTGGAGTATTGGAACTATATTTGCTGAGATGGCAACAAAGAAACCTTTGTTTCATGGAGACTCAGAAATTGATCAATTGTTCCGAATATTCAGGTTCGAATTCCAACTTTGTTATGTTATGGGTTTTCTGAGCATCTTCATTTTAAATATAGTTAAGTTGAGTTTATTTTTTCTACACGAGTACAAATTACGAGAAATTGATAATTTACAGTTTTACTGAGGAAGGGAAGTTGCAGGGAACCAGAGCTGGTTATCGAGCAGCGACTGAAGTGGCATACTGAAAACTTTATTTTTATATCCCTTTGCTATTTCCATGAAAAAGAAAATCAGATTTCATGACATACTTTCAAAAACTCACCAAAACATGTAGAAGCTGTCAAAAGCCATCAAGCTATTTTAATATCAATAATAAGCCTTTTGGTTTTGGTCTGTGAGGATGAAGGCTCGACATCACTGCTCTGAATCCTTATTCTGCATAGTATTGAGAATATCATAACATGTCTTAATACTCTCAATATACACTTTCAATCTTCTAGAGTGTTGGGAACTGCTACTGATGATGATTGGCCCGGAGTAACATCGCTGAAAGATTACAAACAAACATTCCCAAAATGGAAAAAAGGAAATATTGCGGATTCTGTTAAAAACCTCTCTGATGAAGGATTGGATTTGCTAATGGTATTCAGATGAGATATGTTTTACTTGTGTTTTTCGTGTACTTTCACATGCAGAACATGCAATTTGTATGGTTCATCATGAACACCTTATGGTGAATGGTGATGATGAAGTAGTTGGTCATTGAAATTAGGAATCTTATTCAATTATCTGGAAACTGGCTCTGTGAGATGTCCCAAGGTCATTATAGATGTCATTTAATAAATTTGTTGAATTTACCCGTAAAAAAAGTCTCTCAAGAAGTGGACTGAACTTCAAAGATTTTGCGACTCTCACATATTTCTGACTTGCTGTCTGTAGCTCTGTGCTAAAAAAAATTTCCCAAACCTGTCATAATGCTAGGCAAATGTTCCATTATAAAAGAAAGATTATAAACATAAAATTTTGTTTTTATGGCCTCATTGATAGCATAATTTGGAAAAGCGTCCAGCAGAAGCATTGTATTTAAATAAGTGGAGCTTAAATACATGCTCATGGTGCATGTTGTTGTGGTCTCTGGGATTTAGCTTGAAGTATATTATAAAAACCCATAAGCCAGTTTGCTGATTGGCAAAGTTTTTTTTTACCATTGGATATACCAAGATCTAAGCCTGATTAATATTTGCGGTAGACAGATTTATCCTTGGCTCTGAGACGAACACTTGAAAAATCAGTGACATATACACTCTCCATTTTAGCTTTAAAATAAGAGACCAGTCTCGAACTAAAGTAAACCTTTCTGGTGTACATGATTTTTCATAACTGTCAATACTTTCAGAAATGTTTGGTCTATGATCCAGCGAAAAGAATTTCTGCTAAAGCTGCTCTAATGCATCCATACTTCAACAATTTGGATAAGAAAGCGTTACCTGGCACCCATGTCTGCTTGGTCCCCAGGGCTCCCAGAATTGCTGCCTAAAAAACTTGTCAATAGGTATGCCAAGCAAGAAGCACTGCTGCAGTTTGATACCTCATTCAGGGATTGTCATTTTCGTTTCATGAGATTCTCTATTATTACTTGTGTATGAGCTGGTCTGAGTGGTATTCAAATTGTATAAGTTTGTGTCTTCTACGTCTGTTAGGGTTTTATTAAATCCAGCAACACCTTTGGATATGCAAATTGTTTAAAGAAATATCAAAGCTTGAAAACTTTGTGATGAGTGATGCTGTGGGTTTATCATATATTTCTTTCTTGTGTTTATTCTTCTTGATATCCAATTTCCTTCATCTTTCTGATATGGACTTTTTCACCCCTTGTGGGACTTTCTTGTTGCAGACAAATGTTTATATCCGATTAAAACACCTTTGCTGCTACTCTGTATGTTTATTTGTATTTTGGGGGCCAAGAATTGCACGCCTGCATGGGGAAAGGTGTAATATCTTGGAAAAAAAATTATGTAGAGCCTGGGAATATTTTACAGCGGGATACCATGTAGCGCTATTTAAGCTCATCTGAAAACAAGAAAACTATTGTTGGATTGTGCCTCGATTTGAGAAAGCAAGGTTACTCTGTGGTTCTAACTCCCGGACGCATGTGTTCGTGCTTTTTTACGAAACACAAAAGCAGCGAATCGTTTATTTTGTGTTACTTGCTTTTGTGATATCTGCGTGCTCCGTGATCGCCTACTTCAAAAATGATCGTGTACGCAGGAAGCCATGTTCAAGTTACGCTTGTCCCCGTTTGTTTAACAAATAATTTTAATTATTAACTATAAATAGCATAATAATAAAGTAATATGATTTTTATGGCATAAAGTTGGAATTAATGAGAATTTTTTCCGAATGGGTCCGACCTCATACGCACTGATGCATGACATTCAGTTGACATAGCGATCGATGACGCGTGACATTCTACAAAATACTGTATTATTAAATTGAGTTCCTTGCTTTTTTGCGAATCGTTCATTGGTAGTTGCCGATCCGATACCGTATTTTATTCCTATAATAGGAGTGTTAATGCAGCTAATGTCATGTTCAAGGCGAAAATTATAGTTGTTGGACCCTGCGAAAGTGGGAAAACTGCGGTTTCAAACTTTTTAGGAGATCAAGTAAGAAATGTATTTTGTTTAGTCTAACATTAGTTGTATCGGTGATTGTTACACTGTGTTTATTGATAACCTTAATTTTTGTTAAATTTATGTCATAAAATGCGCCAGCTTGGAAATAACAAAAAAAGAATGCCTTTTATAAGCATGGAATATACTAGTACGATAAAGGCAATTAAATAGGATACGGTACCTTTAAGACTGTAGTTAATATGCTAATGTGGGAAATTATAATTTTACAGACTGATCATTCGGAATCAAATTATCACCCAACAGCAGGTGTTAGAATTCTTGAATTTGAGCAACAAGTTAAAAGTCGAAACAGAAATGTTGATGTTGAAATTGAGCTATGGGATTGTAGTGGAAGCGAAGAATATGAAAGCTGTTGGCCAGCCATGGCTTCGAATGCTGACAGTTCGTATCGCATTAATATTATAGAATTTGAAATGTTTCTGAAAAAAAACTATATCAATCACCAGTCATAATCTGAAAGAACTTATCCATTTGAGATTTTAACACAATGCACAAAAACATAAGAATGTAAGATAATATCAAAACATGACTTTTTCTGAAATAATGTTGATGAATTATATACCTGGTTACTATATTTTAATTAAATATGTTTAACTCTGATCATACAAGTCTGAATATTTTTTTTACTGATCAGTTCTTCAAACAGAGTTAAAATTGCCATTCTATGATAAACATAGATTGACTTCTTGTATTTATTTACTGTCAGTTGAAGGAGTTTGTTCCACAATAATATTCTACAGTTTGCCCTTTTTTACTTTTTCACCTATAGCCTAATTTTAGTACAAGCTGTAAAATTGCTGTACAAAAGTTATTTATATGAAAGAAAGAATTAGCCTAACTCAATATTTTAAATTGCTTTTCAGGAAATTATATGCACATTACCATTGAGCAATCTTCGGTTTAAATTTAACTTTAAATAAATCATTCTCAACCTTTTGAACAAATAAATTTAATAGCAATGAAAGGTTTTTTTTTTTCTCAACTTCTCTCAATTAAATTATGTTATTTGTATACAGGTGTGATCATAATGTACAATCCATTCGAATCAAGCAACAAATTGCAACTCAATAATTGGTTTGATTACTTTGTGTCAGGACAAGGCTTGAAAGAAGAGTACTGTGCAATATTCGCTCATTGCAAGAATAAAGAGGCTACTAAGAATATATCTTCACCACTATCTGATAATATACCATTTGTAAGACCCTAAATTTTATTTTGATGGATGCTTACTTTTTAAGAGGTGAAATCTGTGTACCAACAAGACCTGATTTGTTAACAATTTATTCAAGTTGTTTTTCGAATGGTGCCGTTTGTACACAATGTTTTTTGACACATACACTGATACAAATGATCAGGCTTCTTTAATAAAAAATTAATTAGTTATTGTTCATAGGAATTATTTTTCAAAATAAAAATTATTTAATAAGTGTTTTTGTTGTTTATGAAAATCCTTGTTTTTGTATTTAGTATGTCACAAATTTGGATGGAGACCCAGATCAATTAAAAGATGCATTCACAAAAATTTTGGGTAGAGTTCTCAGCAAATTATCGGATTCCAGGGAGAAAGAAGAACTGAGTATCATAAACTGATTGCTGGCTATAAATTTTTTGTTTTTCATTTCCAATAATTGCAATGCTAAAGGTCGAGTTGGCTGTGATATATAATACGTAGATGTATTTTTTTCCATGGAAAATTACGAATGTGTCCAGATTGCAATTTCAATTGCACTCGACTCAGTTTATGTTTTCAAATTTCACATCTTATCTTTTTTTACCATTCATATAATATTGTTCAAATTATACAACTGAATGTGACAAATGATTCTTTTCAAATGTGTGCATTGTGGTCAATTTGGCACTTTTATAGGTACAGCAAAATTTGCAACTATTTTGCTTCGTTGTTTAGCTGCTTTGACTTTTAATCCGCTATACTGAATTGATATGAAATTTTTTCTAAAGTGTTATTTGTGGGGCACGCGCTCCTTATATTGACCCTTAGGTGAACCTAAGAAAGGATATGCAACTGAATCTATTATAACAGATTTTGTAATTTCATCCTGGTGCACTCGAGACGGTGTGAGATTCTTTGTGTGTAGACTGATATATATTTACTAGGATTTACACATATTTATCCCGGGGGATGCGATATGTTGACTCAAATCATTGATGTACAGTACCCTTTCCAAATACAAAAACAACACTTAACATATAGCGATTCTAACATCTATGCGTTAAGTGAGAATCCAACAATAAAACACACATTTAATTATGGAGAGTGTAGCTGTAAGGCATGGTGAAAAAAGCCTGATTGAACCAACTGGTATGTGTCTCTTATGATTGATACATCGAAACTAATAAACGGGTTTGAAGTCAAAGGAACTTCCACAGTTAATATCTGTATGTAGGTTTTGAATAGCTCATTTAAAATAGGTCATGAATTTTGGAGGAAAGATTTATATGCATTAATGGCAATTTTCCAATGACAAACTGTTGGATCTGCATAAGCGGACTACAAAAGTTAGTTTCCAATTCTTTATTGGACTTGAAATTGACCTATTATTCGAATCATTTTGGTATTATGTTGATGTTATTATGAAAAAATAGCCTGGTTCTTTTAAACTAATTTCGTAATTTTTTGTGAACGAACACGCACGATACACGTCTTCATTCTCAAGTCTGTAAGTTTTGACCATTTTACTAGCAATTTCTGCTTTATTATTTGTTTCGTTGAGTGTATTGTTTTCACGGTGCCGAAATAAATTGTATTATATCATTATTCAAAACCCTATTCCTTCGATGTTTTTTGGATTAATGAAATTCTGGATTTTTTTCTAGTATTTTGACTGTCAGTTTCTTGTTCTGTTCTATTGCCCCCGTTTTCTTAGTATATATAAGTTTATTTCGACTCCATATTCAGCATAACAGACGATAAAATATTTGATAAAAACAAATAGGTAAAACTGGTTACAGAATCAGATAAGCAAAAAAACTTGTATTTAAAATGTACATATTTTATATTGAAAGACGCCGTGAATAAGTGGTAGCCTACGTGTTCGCACAACTGAATGTGCCCCCAGGAAATTTACTATTGATGCGAAACCTGAGTTCGCATGTTGGATATTATTAAACGAAGTCGAGGCATGATAGGAGACATGGATATGATTTACATATTCATCCCGGGGGAGAGAAAAGCCGATAAGACGGCTTAATCATATGGCGAACCACGGCCTCTCGTCCGGTTACCAGTCCAGGTCGGGTATGGGGTTAGTTAGCCAGTTTTTTTTTTCGGAAGCATGGACTTGATAGTGGAAGAAGCCGTAACCGACCAGCGGTTGCGTGAACCACCCTACGGCGGCGATGAGTCCAGCAATCCTCTCGCACATGATGCGAGCTTTGCTTTTGGCTTGACAGTCATTTTCTGTCTCAATGAAATCACATTTGATCAGTGGCGGCGCGTGGTCATTTTGACAACCGGGGCAAGCTACTGCGGGACCAAGTCACCCCTATCTACGGGGACAGGATGAGCGCTGTAAGTTCTCCCATCATTTTATGAGTATAAAAACCATTCCATCGGTAACAACCAATCGGCAAAAGCGACAATTTTTAATGATAAGAGAGTGTCTTTAAAACCGGTCCAAGTCAAGGGCTTAATAAATATAGACATAGTTTATTTTGAAACCTCTTACAAAAGGAAAGGCATTATTTACCCAGATAAATACAATGACATATTAACAGAAACTTCGGGAAAGCAGACAAAACCTAAAACAAGGTTTAAAACGATACTATGAAGAAAGAAAAGTTAATGCAAAGATAAGGACATGCGTCGCTCACCCATAGATATATATATATGCTGCTAGACTTCTACTGCTTGAACATATATGCAACACGCCGCGGTTTCTCGGAAGCAAAATGCTCAATAACGCGCTGATTAAAGTCATGCATCCCAGAAATAACGTCTCTGTGAATGGATAAAACAGCCAAGGAATTTAATCTATCTTGCTTCATTGTGTTTCTGAGATACGTTTTAATACGCTTCAGCGTGCTGAATGTTCGCTCTGCGTCGGCGGAAGAAATAGGCGTCGTCAAAATGATGTCCAGAAATTTTGCAGACGCCGCAAAGATAGTTACTAGAGTGTTATCTATGAGGAATCCATAGAGCGCGCAAGTTGTGATGTTCAAAAAAGTTTGATTGGTGTATATACATCGCAATTCATTTTCCAATTTACCCACGTTTATCCTGGGGTAAAATTTGGAGACAGTAACCAACAAATGGATGGGAAATTGACGTGCAAATTTTGAAAAAATTTTGGGGTTCATCAAAGAGAACGCGGCAAGGTGTTCAGGGCGCAGACGATCGCCTATTTGATTCACCAGAATGTCACAGCATTCCTTTGCAGACAAAATCAAACGCTGCGTTGTTTGCCCGCGGCGTAAAGAAGCACACCATGTGTCGTCGTGTTTTACTGTTTCCCGGATACGAGATACAGCATCGCAGAAGTCTGAAATACACGACTGCACAGACGCTCCATCCATTAGCCATGACTGCAATGCGCCGTATAATACATCCACGTGATAGAATATTGTGGAGAAAAAAGCAAGAAAAAATGAAAACTCACCATCTTCTAGCAGACGCTTTAGACCTGCCGCCTCCCTCACAGAGCGTTCGTCCCAAACCGGAGAGCTCTGAATGCCATTGAAACACTCAATGAGCTCAGACCTAATTTCGGACACGCCCTGCACCACGCGTGATTGGAAGTTCCAACGTGTTGGTGCACAAGCTGGGAGACGGCGGCTACATATCTGGCGAAGGAGGTCAGAGCGCTTCGGCGAAACGGAAAAAAATGAAGAAAACCCCGAAACATTTGCAAAAAATATACGGACGAGAGGGGTATCAAGACACATATTTTTAATAACGAGGTTAAATTGGTGTGCATAACAATGTAAAAAATGCGCATGAGGAAAATCTACTTTTATATAAACTTGAACACCATGTTTCGACCCACTCATGACTGCCGCGCCGTCATAAGTTTGAGCTATCAATTTTGACTTCGCGTTGTAAGGCTGTAACACTTTGTAGCGTACCGGCAATGCATGAAACAATCATCCAGGTTCAGAATATCTTCTAATATGATCTGACGTCAAGTTTTCTCTCAATAGTCCAAGTCCCTACGCTACCCTATGTCATTTATTAACAACTCGAACAGTAAACGATCCAAAACAACCAAACACTCCCCAAAGGAACGAAAAGCACAAAACAAAAACAACAGACACCAGGTAGCAAAATGCAAGAAAGACCACACACACAACAAAAACACTGACCAACCCTGAAATCCAAGACAACTCTGAATAAAAAACCAAATGACCCCTAGAATCTGGTACAATGAACTAGCTACTGCAATTTGCAAAACAGGCCGAAAGTAACTTATGACAGGCATTTAAAAAGACTATGAACAATTCTATAGGTGCACAACATTTGAACAATACTGATGATAGCTAATTCCACGATAAAACTGAAAATACAACACTACGGTAAATGAACTGTAATGGCACTGTACTGGTAAGAACAATAACATGGTCCCTACGTCAGCCCACTGTCCAGCACAAAACATCCGACAGTCACACAACACAGACAAACATCCCTGAAGACCAGAGGCATTCACACAGACATTCAAAACCCACCAATCAAATCGAAACACTCAGACGACTGCCCTCTGTCGCACACCGTACACCAACAGACCACGCTGCCCCCCGAGAACCGATCGACCGTGTCGCAGCGTCTAAACTGCTAGAATACCAAATATGGAAACGATATCACATGACGTCATTTAACAGGCAAAACAAGGGTCGTCACATATCAAAATATGTCCACGAATGTCTTTAAAATATGCAGGCTGTCTACCCTCACGCTTAAGCATCCGTAAAGTTTGTCATTCTGGATTGAGTCCACAAACTTCATCGAAGCGACCAAATTGATGTTGCATATCTCCACTGGCTCAACAACGGCTACTATGTTAGATCTCCGGACGGCCAAGGCTGTTGTAGCTGAACTAGAACAACCAGTCCCGAGCGGCCGGTGTAACCACATCTTCAACTATAGTTCCATGACAGCAGGGAGAAGCTGTTTGGTGCTGTACCTTAACATCCTGTCCCTCAAGAACAAAACGATGCGACGAATTTGCCAAGATAGTCCATCCGTGACCCTAGATCGGCGACGGCAACGGTATGCTCCACAGGCCAGCTTTCAATCGTCATTCGTCAGGTTGACATCAAGTGCACCATGAGACACTAACGACTCGCCACTGGCAGTACGCAATGGTACTGGAAAAGAATACAGTTCTGAAATGTCCGAATTTCCTGCAACGTCGAGTAAACAGCGGTGTCTATGAGCGAGACACCCGCACCGAATTCCCCGCAACGTCAAGTAAACAGCGGTGTCTATGAGCGAGACACCCGCACGTGACCCTGGATCGGCGACCACAACTGTATGCTCCACAGACCAGCTTTCAATCGTCAGGTTGACATCAAGTACACCATGAGACACACATGACTCGCAACCGGCAGTACGGAGTGGCGCTGGAACAGGATGCAGACCCGAAATGTTCGAATCTTCCTGCAACGTCGAGTAAACAGCGGTGTCAATGAGCCAGACACCCGCACCGGTATCAATCAAAAACAAAACAGGCACGTTATTGACCAGAGCCTTGACATATCATCCATTAGTCCGAGTAAGAGAAAAAAAATCATAGTTCATAGAAAACATCCTGGCGTGCTCGCCAAAAATTGTAGCGTACCGGCAATGCATGAAACAATCATCCAGGTTCAGAATATCTTCTAATATGATCTGACGTCAAGTTTTCTCTCAATAGTCCAAGTCCCTACGCTACCCTATGTCATTTATTAACAACTCGAACAGTAAACGATCCAAAACAACCAAACACTCCCCAAAGGAACGAAAAGCACAAAACAAAAACAACAGACACCAGGCAGCAAAATGCAAGAAAGACCACACACACAACAAAAACACTGACCAACCCTGAAATCCAAGACAACTCTGA